CTCCTTAAAACTGGCTGGAAATACAGTCATTTGGCTTTGACTCACCTGAACTTTTTTTTCAAACAGTTGGAGGATATCCTGCCTGACCCAGGATATCTATACCAGCAGTACTTCCTGCAGTAGAGGTGATTGAAGGTAGAATAAACCATGGCTCAGCTGGTATACCAGATTTCAAGGGAACACTGGGGACAGGAAATAGGCTTGTGCTAGGCTAGAACAAATGACCTAATAAAGGATTTATTCTGTAGTGGATAGTCAGCAACTCAAATTACAATGGCCAGGAGGAGCGTGAAGAACCGAGATTTGATCCTGCCAACAATTATAGACAATGAGATTTTGTCAAGTGGAACTCAGCAAGACAAAACTAAAGGCGAGGATAATATGCCACCAGGAGGGTGACTGTACCTTACGTTCGGGGAATTGTTTACTTCGGGGTTGCATCCAAGAATTGTGTCAAAGAGAAATTCTGGGCAAGAGTCTGCCTAACTGTCAAGGTCACGGCTGAAGTCTTTCCAGGCATGACTTCAGTAGAATAATGAAAAGGTTATCTGAAAGTGTTACAGAGCCTAGTCTTATGAAACGACGAAAGGAGTTAGAAAAATGGGCATGGGGATAACTAGATCTTCCTCGGGTTAGGGTATGGTAAACTGATCTGAGGGTTCCTTCTGCAGTCTTTAAGGGTTGAGGTTTTAGAAAGTCCAATCCATTTCCTGTGCAAGTTTCTAGCAGACCAACTCTGGGGAAGACAAGAGCTCAAGGCCATAAGGCATCATCTGGCAGCTACTATGGTCAAATAATATTCAGTCTCTTTTTCCACCCTTGTTTATCCTCAGAGTGTTCACTCTAGCTGGCTTTTGAGATGAGCTGGCATAATTGGTGAGAAGGAGATGGCAGCGATTCAAACATTCCTTCTGTTGGCTTGCTATCATCGCGGTGGATCTCGGGTCTGTGTCAATGTGGCAAGCTGCAGTTTCAGCTTCAGCAAAGGAAGTCTAAGAAGGTGTATGCCAGCTGGAATACTTGGCCCTCAGATGTGTATGAGCAGGAAGTTTCAACAGGTGGGAGAGTAATATTTCCAAGGGGACAGTCTGCCAGAAACTGGGAAATCTGCGAGTAGCTATAACTTCTAGGCAGAAAGAACACCTACTGGTCAACTACCAAGTCAGAAAGACACCTCCACACTGCTCTCACTGTTCCATATCAAGGGATTCTGATGTGAAAGCAGGTCACTCTGCACAACATTTTACCCTGTTTTTGGAGATTGTTCCAGAAAGTTCCATCTTGCAATTGCACGATGCTCTTTTGACCCTCAAAACCACTGTGCAATGTGATTCTCTCCATTTGTACAATGGAAAAGAAATTTTCTAAGAGGGATCACAAATTCCATACAAGACCTACTGCAATTTGATATTTTCCGACTGTCAATTCAATTTTTAGTGAAATCTTTAAAACTCACTACTTCTCTGAACACAAACATCAATCATACTGCACAGAACATGGAGATCTTAGGAAGAAATCTGGCAGAGCCCTCCAGATGTAGCATTTGCAAACTCAAGGCTCTTGTATCTGCATAGCCTTTCCAAGGAACTACTGGTTGAAAAGAAATGTGTAGACTGCAGGTTTGGGACTCTGCCTTTGATCTGTTCAAGGCCCACTTCCTCAATGCTTGTGAAGAAGACACCTATGAAAAAGCAACTTCCAAATTTCCTGGCTTCACCTCCGTGAAATTCAAGAGATGATCTCTTCACACTTATCTCCTAAAGTCAAATTTTATTTTGAGGCTGAAATTCTTTGTATTTACATTTAAATTCTAACCAAATGTCCTATTAAGACTAATAATCACAATAGAGATTCTACCTGACTCAATGAGATTTTTCAGATGAAAATCCTGTGAACACTTCACTGCCAACCCATGTAGAAAAGCCACTGTGTTTACAGATTAAGCATAAGGCAGATCTTATTATGCTGACTATAAAAAAAATAGACAAAGAAATCTGTAGGGGTGTTTTGTTTTATTTTGGAATTAATATATACCCTTTTCATAATTCTCTGTAAGAAAACCATTTTAAAACACAAACATATAAAGGAAGGCACTTCCAGTTAGTCACTGGTACTGCAAAACCACAATGTGAGGATAATGCTATTACTCATAATCTATTATGATACAAAATTAGGTTCCATAAGTGAAGGGCGGATGCGTCCCTCTGCATCCCAATCGAGACTCCATCTTCATATGATTCACAGTTCATTCATTTGCTATCTGAAGTGCCACTACACCACAGCTGTTCTCAGTATAAACTTCCCTGCACTGCAAACAAGACCTAGTTTCTTAATAGTTGCACTGACAACGTCCAGGCCATTTAAGAGTAAGCAACTAATTCTGCCAATGTTAACAACGTTATTAGGCGAGAACAATATGTTGTCTCCAGAAAGGACAGGATATTTTTGGTTAAAATCTAAAAAAAAAAACCGCTTTATGATCTTCATATATACAAGGTAACTTTGATTTTAATTATATTGTCAATTTTTCTGTCTATTCAATTTACAGCCTGAATCTGAGAAATTCTAGCTCTGCAGATTTCCCATTTCCCCCCAGGCTCATTTTCAACAGGTTGACTGCAATTAAAATCTAAAATCTCATTTAGGTTCTTATTTTTACCCACTGTAGCTTAAACCAACAAATTTTATTTGTCAAGATAAGTTATTTGTCTTTAAAAAGTTAGAATGCACTCTAAAAACACTTTCAAGTAAAAAGCCTCAGAAATAATTAATACTTTTGCAATGACACTTTACTTTTTTCCCCTATGAAGAAAACTAAGGTAATGCACATTCCTACATTTCTCTAAACCTTAAAAGAAAGTTTTCTAAATAATTTTAAATGTAGGCTTAATGCAAAACTAATCTTATTGTAACAGTCACTCTTTCTGTAAATCTTGAGGAATTCTGCATAAAAGCATTCCCATTCCCCAAATTACACTGTTCTCAAAATAATTGTATAGTCAAAAGACATACAATTTTAAAGATCTTTTCAAACATCTACATTTAATTCTATCTTCTTTTCAAATATTACCCACTTTAAAAGTCATTATTTTATAAGCAGTATTTTAACACTACTATTTTCATGTTAAATTCTACTCTATTGCATGCAACCCGACAGAAATAGGATAAATCAGATCTGCCATGTAATTAATCTTAAATTAGTAATTTAAACTAGACTTATATTTCCATATGGAAACCCATTTCAAAAATTACGTGCTTTCTAGTTAAACAATAGCTAATTACATATTAAGCTAATTGAGACAAACCATGCAAACAAAATCTAAAGATAGATCACTCTATGGTAAGAGTGTATGACTTAAACCACACTTCTATGGCATGTTGAATGCATGCTGAATGCACACTGGGAAGACAGGCATGTTCCATGCATACTTCGCAATACCAGTTTTTATAACAAGAGGGAGCACCCAACGCCAAATCCATCCCAACACATTTGTTAAAGAAAGACGTCAGGGTTTTTCTATTCGTTTGTTTGTGTGTGTGTGTGTTTTTATAAGATACTACAACAATCCGGTCTATAGATGATTTGTTTTTAATCCTAGGTTAAGTTCCCCCTTTTCTTAAGTCTTTGACAGGTTCTCTCTTTTAAGTAAACAAGGGACACTTTCAAACACAGGAAATATTGATGAATGATACATGCAATATAACGATCTCACAATTTAATATTATTTGTAAGTACATAATCAACAAAACACTTTCAGAACCAGTACCTTTTTAAATAGCAGTCCCCCCGCCCCCAATCCAAAATGGGGATTAGGTTGACTGTCTTCTTGGAACTCAGAGGCCAAGAGAGAAAAGCAAGGTCTGAGAAAAGCATGCAGTGAAAACACCAGTGTCCTTAACAACATCAACGCTTCAATAAATGCATTTACCTCCTAAGAAGAGCCATCTACTCACACTGCAAACACGAACAGCGGAAGAAAAACATATCCTTACAGCCATCGGACAGGTTCAAATAACACTTGCAGACAAATGAATGTTTGCGTTCTTGAAATCTGTCCATATGGATGCAGTTCCCAAACCTTTACTTCCTCCACCACTTCCAACCTGCGTGCTGGGAGAGTCGCACACACGCAGCCGCACGCAGAGCAGGCTCACAATTCCAACACGCACCGCGCAAAGTAGCCGAGCGAATTCTGCTGCGCGAGTCAACTCTACCTCCCCCCGCCCCCACCACTGGAAAACAGAAACGCTCACAGCTGTAAGGAGTCGGTGCTGGGGGTAGGGTTCGGGAGAGGAAACCCGGCCAGTGAGGGCTGGCAGTTCCGCAAGTGGACACTCTCCCCGGGTCAAGTGCTACCTTTGCCTAGGTGTTACTACTCCAAGTGCCAAACGGATCCCTTCCTTCGCTTCGGGAAGACGCAATTCGAACCAGCGACCGCGTCTGAAGGTCTGGGAATGTCAGCTCTAACCTGCTTAGAACCATCAGAAAATCGAACGAGCGATCGATCCCGCACACGCACATGCACACGCCACACACAGAGAGACACGCGCGCGCGCACACACCACACACACACGCACACGCACACGCACACGCACACGCACTCGCTAAGCCGAGAGGCTCCCCTTGCCTGGACTGTTCATGCCAGACTCTTAATCCAGCCCGAGGCATTCGGGAAAAGGGAACGCAAAGGCAGGAAAGCGAGCAGTGTGTCCCAACCCTCCCCCAGGACACCACTCCCAGCGCCCCCCGGCTTTCCCAGGGCCAGGTGCCGCCCCAGCCTTCCGCACTTGGATCCCACAGCTCCGACGCCACCCTCGAAGCCCTCGAGCGATTTCTCTCGCTCCCCGGAGCCTTCTTTAAACTCCCCCCGAGCAAAAATACATTCCCTACCGGTTGCAAACTTTTTGTCCCCCCGCTCCCCGAGCGAACACGCACGAATCGAGGTCAGCGGCTCGGGGCCGTGGCCGCGGCGGCGCGCAGAGGCGGGCGCCCCCCTCACCTGGCAGCTGCGCTCCAGGTGGCCGTCCCACGCCGCCCTGCGCGGCTCCCGGGGGCGCGGGTGTCCGCCTCCTACTCGGCGCTGGCGGGAGACGGAGTCCCAGGACCGCGCGACCGAGCCCGGAGCCACCCTGCCCGCAGCATCGTCTGTCTTTGGAGGCGTCGATCCGGGGAGGGGTGGGGAGGGTGCGGTGTTGGGGTGGAGGGGGGCAGCTCCCACTTGCCCCGGGCTGTGCGCGCCCGGGTTCGAGAGCGCTCCGCCCGCGGGCAGCTGCGGCGGCGCGTCACATGCCGCCTCCGGGCAGCGGCACCTGCCCCGGCGCTCCCGCGCCCCGCGGCTGTCGCCTCTCGTCCGGGTTCTCCTCGGCCGTCACTTTCTCTCTTGCCCGCTCTCTCTCTCTCTCTTTTTTAATCTCTCCGTCTCTTTCCGTCCGTCCTTCCCTTGCTATTCACTCTCCGTCTCTTGCTTTTCAGCCTTTTCTCCTTTCTTTTTGCCCAGAGCAGACGGCAGGCGCTCCGACCCGGAGGAGGGTCGTTCCCTCCCGCGGACTCTGCCTCTGCCTGGTGGCGGCGGTCGCGGCTGCCGCCGGCCGCTCCCCCGCCCCTCGGGCCCGGCTCCGCCTCCGCGCGGGGCTGCGAGCGCGGCAGCCGTGCACCCGCCGCCCGGTGCCCGAAGAGCCGCTCGCTTTCTGAGCATGCCCAGTCGCCCCGCCGGGGGCTCCGCTCGGCTCCCGCGTACCCGCTCCAGGGGCGGCTTCTGCGCGGGAGCAGGAGCCCAACGAAGGGAGCACGGAGAACGCCCCTCCGGCACTCACCACCCCGGCCCCGCACCGCTCTAAACGCACCTGGTGTCCACGGCGGGGCTTTAGGGACAGATTCCCCGCCCGCCCTGCTCCTGGTCTCTTAGTTTTGTTCTCCTCTAAATCGATTTTCTCCGACGATTAGGATTCCAAAGGAATCGATTCTTAAGGGGGCGCAAGGAAGGGGTGCAAGGGTCTCAGCTCGGTTACAATGTAGGACTCTCGAGAATGTTGCCCTTGAGAGCGGCCGGGTGTGTGTTTTTTGTTTTTTGTTTTTTTAAACTGGAGCTGGGCAAGTGTCTTCGCGCAGAGCAGGACAGACACATAGCAGACCTCTTGAGTTTTCCTCCTTAGATGTTCACACTTCAAGATGAAATTAGACAAACACGAGAAAAAGCAAATGAGAGAAAGAGAAGAAAGAAAAAGAGCAGGAAGAAAGAAAAGGGAGGGAGGGCGGGAGGAAGGAAGGAAGGAAGGAAGGAAGGAAGGAAGGAAGGAAGGAAGGAAGGAAGGAAGGAAGGAAGGAAGGAAGGAAGGAAGGAAGGAAGGGAAATAAAGACAAAGAAAAGAAAGACAAGAGAAAGAAAGAAAGAAAGAAAGAAAGAAAGAAAGAAAGAAAGAAAGAAAGAAAGGAAAGAGAAAAGAAAGTAGGGAGACAAGCACTTTTTTATTAGAAAATATGCCTTGGTAATTTGGATTTAAAAATTTGTGTATGAGTCAAGAGCAAGGAAAAGCTAACAAGAAAGGTTTTAAAAAGGAAACTGGAGTGTGGAAACAACTATGTAGCAGGGAAATAAAGAGGAAACGAGAAAACTTTTCTTTGAGAAAATAAGTAACTTTAAGAAAGGAGAAATAATACATGCATGAATGGTGTATGGAAAGTATAATTAAAAGTATTGTAGTTCCTGGTATCTCAGTAAAAATGGGGGTAGTAAGAAATGTGTACGCATTTATTTCCTTCCTGAATTGATATTCTTTGTAGGTAAAACAATCTTTTTTAAATAGCTCCTTGAGAGAGCTAGGAGGAAAAGAAACTAGTATAAGCCAAGTGGCTATTTCAATCAATTTAGTTATCCAAGCACTGTAAATTACATATTGAGAACTGAAATGATCATTTCAATATTAGTATAGTAGCTCTGGTGTTTGCATACCTCTCAGATGGAAATATAATAATATAGCCTTCAGATACTTTCTAATCTTTAAAGTAATTTCTTAATTAGGGATAAGGGCCTTGTTCCTATTCAAAGAACAAACAAACTTATAAAATATTAAATAAATAATTACATAGTATTAAGAAAATCATGAGCTTGCATGTAACATATGTTTCCCATAACATGTAATCACTATTTTTCTGTAAAAGTAGGAGTACCATTAATAATATTTGGTTAACTTATAAATAATGACACACATGGGATAAAAAAATGGAGAAATATGTATAGATATTCTAGCATCTTAAACATTAGTTTATATTGACCGGTTGAGATTGGTCAATATCTAAAAACTAAAGAACAAAAGATAAATCATATCTAAGTAGACATAAAAAAAGGGAACAAATGCAATTTTGTTAAGATATCTTTACCAATCTATTTTCTTTTCCTATTTAATTAGTGGTTAAATTCATATGTCTGTCATTTCCTGATTCCAGCTAACCTTTCAGTTATTTTTATGGACAAAATTGTTAATTTTTTATTAATATTGAACCAGGAGTTGTTTAGAGTTGTACAATTCTCTTAGTAAGTAGATTCAGGCTAATCACAACAAGGTATTTGATTTTTAGCTTGGAATCCTATTATTTAACAAATCTATCAAATTACTTTTAAAAGGGGTCAATAAAAGGGGGATTTATCTGATTTGAGAATATCCTGAATGAGGGGTATTATGAATTTATAAGATAGGAAAAGTTAGAACCAAAGGTTGATTTTAATTTGGTTATCTAAAAGTAAAAAAGATAAACATTTTGAAATCTTTCACTGTAGGTTTTCAGTTGTGGACAAGAGACATGTACTCTTCCACCAAAATACTTGTACAAAATCTGGGAGCTGGAGAGATAGTACAAAGGTTAAGGCTCTATGCAGCTGATCCTGGTTTGGATTCCCTACACCACTTATATATTGCCAGGCATTAGCCCTGAGCACAGGGTCAGAAGTAAGTCCTAAGTACCAATAGATGTTGCTCAGAAAACGAACAAGCAAAAACAGAAAGACAAAATCTGATCAAAATATTTACAATAATGCTCTGTTTTATATGAGAACTTCATTCGACAGACATAATTATTTTTTTTTGCTTTATTCGGGGCTATTTTTCCTGGAAATGGGTAATAGCAAGCAGAAAGTTAGTCTCATTAGGTAGAAAGTGTCTTACTAAATTGTTTAGAGCTGCCAAGGTTACTAAAATTGGACTGGTGTTAGGAGACACAGTGGCAAGACAGGAGGCCACAGAGAAGAAACTCGATAGTCTGTGGAAATTCCTCTGACTTCCTTGGTTGAGTTTGTAGGTTGCAGATGCCCAGGTGAAACATTCAGTAGCCCTGAGTGTAGTATCTGAAAGGCAAATAATTTGAATAGAAATCCTGGAAATACTACAAGCTGAAAAGGTATTGAAATTTGGCTCTATCCCAAAACAGAAAAGCTCGGTAAAAAGCTGGAATATTTGGTAGAAACACCCTAAATGATTCTTTCTTGATATGAGAAGGATGCCCTACAACCCCAGACGGAGAAAGTGTGCTCTCCTTACCTACTCCAAATGGAATCCCGGCAACCAAGAGCTTCCACAAGCAAGTCCTCCTCCCCCTAACCCACCCTCACCCCCCCGCCCCCCGTATATGTTTCAGGACTAAATCTCCAGGCCCCATGGCAGCAGAGGACCCGGGATGTCCCTCCCTGGGTCCCCGTCTACCCAACAGACTGGCTGTCACACCCACAATTTGTCTCCCGGTGCCATCTTAGTGCATTAACAACCCTGGCCCCAAGACTTCCAGTTGAATCTCAAAATGGATCAATGTCATACAGAGATGTCTCTGGAACCCAACCATTTAAAATCTAGAAACTTACATTTACAATCGTGGGCATGGGAGCTCTCATGATATCCAAAATGAGCTATGGAAAATAAATTATCTAGCGTTTGCCCCTGGCAGGTAGGCTTGAATGGTGGTGGGAAATCTTGAGCAAAACATAATGCCCAAAATTAGAGAGAGAGTATTGGGGAAATTGTCTGCCACAGAGGCAGGGTGAGAACTGGGATGTGGGTGGTGGAAAATGAGTGTTCCATCATTGTATGGCTGAATCTCAAACATGAAGGCTTTGTAACTCTATCTCATGGTGACAAAATTAAAAAAAAAAAGGTAATGTAGAGTTCATGCCCAATTCAATCAGTTTAATCAATGGCTGAACAAATAGCAGTACTCCTACATTATTTATATAATTTTTTTAAAAAAGAATAATGCCCTAAGAAAAAAAGAAAAAGAATAGATCTACAGAACTAAACAGAGGACTTTATAGCATTGTTGATAGGTGATGATATATTTATAATATAATAACAATTCAATCTTTATTATAAGAGAAACACCTTCCCAAACTTCTACAAAATAAACTAACAAAAAACTTTCTGAATGTGTGAAGGAAAAAAGTGATTGATAACAAAAATAGAAAAAGAAAAAATTTACCTAGGCTGATTCCATACCTTAGCTATGTGCTACAATGAATAATGGATATGTCCTTTTGAATGAATATTTTTATGTCTTGGGGGTAGATGTCCAGAAATGAAATTGCTGAGTTGTTAGCAGATCAATTCTTAAGTTTTCTGAGTAATCTCTATACCGTTTTCCAAAGGGTTGAATCAAAAAACATACTCACCAGCAGTGGATGAGACCTACGTGTCCAGCAGCAGGTGAGTAGATTATGTTCTATCTACTGAAGTGAGTAGATTATGTTCTATCTGTTCTGTTGTACATGACAGAATACCATATAGCTGAAAGGAACAATGAAATTATGCAATTTGCTGCAACTTGGATGGAACTGAAAGATATTTTAAATAAAGTGAGCCTGAAGAGGAGCACAGGATAATCTCATTTATCTGTGGTATGTAGAATAACTGGACAAGGGAATGCAATGGTATACAGGAGGGAATGCCTTGATCATCCTTAACCCAGAGTATAGGAAGGAATATAGAGAAGGAAGATATTCAAAGAGGGAAGGCAAGTAAAGGTGGACAGGAAGTAATGGGGAGCAGGAGCCAAGGTCCTTCTGTACATGGGTTGTGAAGAGTAGTGGCATAGCTATATATAAAAATACAGAGTCAATAAGAATGCAGGATATTCAAACCACAAACTTAAAATTGCCTGTCAAAGAGTCAGGCTCAGGGGTGGAGGATAGAT